TTATCGAAATAACATCGGGAAGGAGGTCGGATACGTTGACCCTTAGTTCATCAATTTTTGAAACTAAGCTTTGCGCATTAATATACACAAGTGTCAGTTTTGAATTCTTGCGTGGTCCATTTTTAAACCTAACACAGTCTACTAGTGCTTAATCAGATCTAACGCAATCGTCTTGAGCTATCTCCAGTCGTCCTTCGGATCTCCCTTGAGCAGACAGTCCCAATTTATGCACGATAGTGCATTTTTCATCGAACTAATATCTGCCTTACATATATTTGGCTGGCACTCCGTTTTCCCCAGACGTTGAGAATTGAGTTAGTAATTCCACATTAGCGTTGTGTGATTACTCTTACCCAGCGGGGCACTTCAATGCGTTTCATCAATATAGGATAAATCCTCCGTACAAATGAGGTCCAAGTAACTAGCTCTCTGGTTCTCTCGAAGTCTGGTTAGCGACTTAACGTTCTCTGCCAGAGGGAGGTCAAGTGTGAGATCCATTAACTTAGAACTGAAGGAAGTTGGCGCCCCTCCACTGTCAGATTTTCCCAATCTATTGCAGGTACGTTGAAATCACCAGCAATAAGAACCTCTTGGGGGCTAGCTGCTTCCTTTACCAGACTAAAAGGCAAGTCGTCAGCTGCACTCAGAATGTTTGGTGTCCTGTATACGGCCAGGAGTTCTAGGTTCCGCGAATATGCCTTCTTTATATTTATCCAGATGGATTCATACTCCAGAGATAGGGTGTGTTCTCGTTTGAAAACGGAGATTCCTGTTCTGACATATACTGCAACCCCACCACCTTGTCTGTTTTGACAGTCTTTGTGGAAAAGCTGGTATCCTTTTATCGAAATCTCTGAATCCGCGATTTCTGTTCTAAGCCACGTTTCCGTTATGGCAACAACATCAGGTTTCCGGTCTGAACGTTATGCCTTGCGTCCATCGATATTTGAGGGAAGACTTTCGGCGTTTGTGTACATAAAGCTCAATTTAGATTTAGGCGGGGATTCGTCCACATCGACAAAGAGCTCTTCAGGAAAACGTACGGAGCGTTTTTTCGGTCCCACCTGGAGTATGCCGTCCAGGCCTGGCGTCCGTGGTTCAAAAAAGATTATCTGCAGCTGGATCGAGTGCAGGCGAGGGCTACGAAAATGGTCAAGAATCTTGGTCATCTGCCTT